GAATAATTTAAGGGGTGACATTGATTAAGATGCGTTGTACTTAAAATCTGACTTACAGAACTGTAGGCTCTCTGTACAACTACTTAATTAATAATTTTTAAATTGTCATCCAACACAATAAAGCAAATTCTTTTAATATTAAATGCAGTGAGGACAGTTTTCAATACCTAGATAGGAAACATACACTTCTAAATATACCTTGTGGTTTTTTTTTTTGTTTTTTTTTTTGGTTATTTGTTGGACATGGGGCTTGAACTCTGGGCTTGGGCGCTGTCTCTATGCTCTTCAGCTCAAGGTGAGCGCTCTACCGCTTGAGCCACAGCGCCACCTCCAGTTTTTCTAGTGGTTTATTGGAGATAAGAGTCTCACGGACTTTCCTGCCCGGGCTGGCTTTGAACCATGAGTCTCAGATCTCAGCCTCCTGAGAAGCTGGTTTACAGGCATGAACCACCAGCGCCCGGCACCTTGTGTTTAAAACAAGTATTAGACATATATACTCTATAGACATATATACTCTATAGACATATATACTCTATTAGACATATATACTCACAGCAATACCAGAGCATCTGATTAGACAATGAGGTCCTTTATTTCAACAACGTTATGTTTCCTTTGTACCTTAAATGAGCATATTATAATCTTACAAATCTATTATGAATACTACTGCACAAAGACTAGCTCCCTACCTATTCAAGTCTGGAATATTCTTATATCAGCTCTTGTGGAATATCTAAATAATTTATTCAGAAGGTTAAAATAAGTAGAAAATGACTGGATGCCAATGGCTCAAGCTTGTCTTCCTAGCTACTCAGAAGGTTGATATCTGAGGATTGCAGTCCAAAGCCAGACCATGCAAGAAAGTTTGTGAGACTTTTAACTCCAATTAACCACAAAAAGCCAGAAGTGGAGCTGTGGCCCAAGTGGTAGAGTGCTGGCCTTAAGGGGAAAAAAAAACTCAGACCCCTGTTTTCACTGTATTTCATGTCAGTCTAATTTGGGGATGGGAAGGGAAAAAAACAAAATGTTTAAATAGGGATATAGGTTGGCCCATCATAACAATGAGATATACAAGACACTACGTTGAAAACAAACTTTACAATTTGGGGGGGAGGGGAGGTTGTGGAGGTGGGAGAGAAGGGATGGTAGGGGAAAAACAAAGGAGGCAACAATGCTTGATAGGAAATGTACTCATTGGGCTGGGAAGGTGGCTCAGTGGTAGAACGCTTGCCTTGCATGCTCAAGGCCCTGGGTTCGATTCCTCAGCACCACATAAGCAAAAAGAAAAAAGCCGGAAGTGGAGCTGTGGCTCAAGTAGTAGAGCGCTAGCCTTGAGCTGAAGAGCTGAGGGACAGCACCCAGGCCCAGAGTTCAGGCCCCATGACCGGACCCAAAAAAAAAAAAAAAAAAAGGAAATGTACTCATTACCTTGCTCATCTAACTGTAACCCCTCTGTACAGTATTTTTACAATAAAAAACTTATTTTAAAAAATATCAAAAAAAGAAAAAAAACTCAGGAATAGTACTTGAGTGCAAAACCTAGGACTGGCATATACTGGAACACATACACATACTCAAAGTAGAAAACGTCCAGGCGCTGGTGGCTCACACCTGTACTCCTAGCTACCCAGGAGGCTGAGATCTGAGGATGGAGATTCAAAGCCAGCCTAGGCAGGAAAGTCCTTGGGACTCTTTATATCCAACCACCAGAAAACCAGAAGTGGAACTGTGGCTCAAAGTGGTAGAGCACTAGCCTTGAGCAAAAGAGCTCAGGGACAGCCCAGTCACATGACCAACAAAAATAAAAAATATATTTTATTGGGAGCCAGTGGCTCATGTCAGTCAGTAATCTTAGATACTAAGAAGGTTGAAATCTAAGGATCACAGTTCAAAGCCATCCCTGCAAACTTACTAGCAAAACTCTTATTTTCAATAAACTAGCAAAAAGCCAAAAGTGGAGGCATTATGGTTCAAGTAGTAGAGCACCAGCTTTTAGCAAAAGTGGGAGGGCCTGAGTTCAGTCTCAATACTGGCACCAAAAATACATAAATAGATCAAATAAAATATAAGCCGGGCACTTACATTTTATATATAAAATATATATGGTGACTCATGCCTATAACCCCAGCTGAGATCTGAGGACTGAGGTTCAAAACCAGACCAAGCAGAAAAGTTCATGAGAGTCCTATCTCCAATGAACCAGAGAAGGCCAGAAGTGGAGGTGTGACTGAAGTAGCAGAGCACTAGCCTTGAAAAAAGGGGGAAAAAAAAAAAAAGAAAAGCCCCAATATTAGTAAAAAAAGGGAAGCAAAAGGAGGGAAGGGGAGGAAGAAGGGGGACGAGGAGGGGAAAAAAGGAGAGGAGAGGAGAGGGGAGGGGAGGGGAGGGGAGGGGAGGGGAGGGGAGGGGAGGGGAGGGATGGTGGCTCATGCCTGTAATCCTAGTATTCAGGAGGCTGAAATCTGAGGATCACAGTTCAAAGTCAGCCCAGGCAGGATGTTCTGGGAGACTCATCTCCTATTAACAATCAGAAAACCGAAAGTGGCACTGTGGCTTAAAGTGGTAGAGTGCTAGCTTTGAGTGAAAAAGCTCAGAGACAGCACCCAGGTCCTGAGTTCAAGCCCAACAACTAACAGGAAAAAGGGACAGGCAGAGGGAAGAGGGGAGAGGTAAAAGGGGAGAGGGGAGAGAGGAGAAAAGGATGGGTACATGGAGGTTCAATATACTATTCTAACTCATAAAATTCAAAAGTTCCATTAGAAATATTTTAAAAAGAAAAAACTTAGAATGGAGCTGGATAAGGGCTCAATTAATGCTATCTTATCCTATTGTAGGATGCTTTCTAAAATTAAATAAAAGCCAGGCACTGGGGGCTCACACCTATAATCTTAGCAACTGAGGAGGCTAAAATCAGAGGATCATGGTTCAAAGCCAGCCTAGGCAGGAAAGTCTGGGACAATCTCCAATTAACCACCAGAAAAGCAGAAGTGGTACTGTGGCTCAAAGTGGCAGAACACTAGCCTTGAACAAAAAGAACTCCATGACAGCACCTCGGCCTGGAGTTTAAGCCCCACAACAGACAAAAAATTAAGTAAGAAAACATATTAAAGTGCCTGATGCCTAGAATGGTGTGTGTTTATTTGTCATTGTATTTCACAATATATATTCAGCAAACCCTTACCTTCAATAAACTATTTGTGTATCTGTGTTTGTGTGCCTGTGGGTACTACAGTTGAAACTCAAGGCCTCCCATTCTTGCTTAGCTTTTTCACTCAAGGTGGGTGCTCTACCACTTGAGCCACACCCTCCTTCTGGCTTTTTGCTGGTCAGTTGGAGGTGAGTCTCTTGGATTTGTCAGCCAAAGACTTGACTTCAAACCAGGATCCAGATCTCAGCCTCCTCAGGAGCTAAGATTAGAAGCATAAGGCACAAGCACAAGGCTCAAACTATTTTTGAACCCGTTTGGGGGTTTGTGTACAGGATCTGGGGCTTGAACTCGAGTGTTAGTCAACTTTTTGAGGACAAGGCTGTCTATAGCCTGCCTCAAACCTCCACTTCAACTTTTTTTTTCTTCTGGATAGAGATCTCTTACACACCTGCCCCCCACGCTACTACCCCAACAGAGGCGTCCAATAGAGATTCCTATATTTATGACTCATCTCTGACAGTAACTTACAGTAATTGTCAAGGGGCTCAAGAAATACAATGTAGTCAGGCGACTGCAATCCTAGCTACTCAGGAGGCTGAGATCTGAGGATCTGTTCAAAGCCAGCCTAGGCAGGAAAATCCTTGAGTCTCTTATCTCCAATTAACCACTCAAAAACCCGAATGGCCCTGTGGCTCCAGCAGTAGAGCACTAGCCTTGAGCTGAGGGACACCGGAAAGAAAGAAAAGAAAGAAAAGAAAGAAAGAAAGAAAGAAAGAAAGAAAGAAAGAAAGAAAGAAAGAAAGAAAGAAAGAAAGAAAGAAAGAAAGAAAGAAAGAAGGGAGGGAGGGAGGGAGGGAGGGAGGGAGGGAGGGAGGAGGGGGGGGGGAGGGGAGGGAGAAAGGAAGGAAGGAAGGAAGGAAGGAAGGAAGGAAGGAAGGAAGGAAGGAAGGAAGGAAGGAAGGAAGATGTGTCCAAGATCTTGATTTCGAACCTTAGTACTTAGTAAAAACAAATAAAAGATGTATCCAGTGCTGACTTCACTGATATTTTGTGACTAGTTACAATTTAACTCAAGGAAAACCTTACTTATCTTTTTTCACTGTCTAGCACATTACAAGTTACCTTAAAACCACCAAATTATAGGTGTTAAATAATAATTCTCATGTTACTCAGTTGGGGTTACTGTTAAGTGAGGACTAACACTGAAAATGGTAGGCTAAGAAACTAGAATACTACACTAGTTCTGATCAGCATTCTACTTGGTGAGGTTAAGGTAGTAAATACTCAACGTGTTGTGGATGCCATGCCCTTTCCTAAGCAAAGCCATGAAAAAGACTTAGCTACTCACAAACCATAAGACATACTTTCAAAATCTGTCTTTCAGATCATGCATAAACCGAAAGTTAAGAGGTTCTCTCTAGCTTCCCAATGCTTTAAATCAACTTGCCATTGTGACGGAAGAGATATGTTTAAAAAAAAAAAATGGTTGCACGCATACCATTTAAAACAAAATAATATTAATTCCCACTTTGGAACTCTAGAGGGCACCAGAAATATGCCCTCCTTCGCACTACCCCTCCTCCCCGGTAACGTGAGCAGCTGCAGAAGCCCGTCGTCTGGTTGCTGAGGTTGGTATTGCAGCAGCAGGAGCGATGTCTGCAGCGGTGCAAACAGCAGCGCCCACTCCCAGCTGCCTCACCAGCCATTACCCGGGCTTCGCCCCGAGGGCAGCTGCCACCCGAGAAGGCCCCTCCCCCTCAAAACAACGGGAGGGCCAAGTCCTCATGGCTGAACCCCTCCAACCTGACATAGTCCTCCAAACAGACCAGTAAATTACGAGCAATGGACTCACAATGGGGGTGCTTTCCTTCTCACTTTCGGCCAAAGATGCACCAGACAGGGTTGAAAGTGATCCCCAGCCCTAAGAGAAAAATGGAAGAAAAAAACACGAGGGGGGGGGGAGGAAAAAAAGAATCAATAACACCCAACCTGGTGGGAGCACCAAACCTATTCCACCAGAAGGAGGCAGAGAAAGGAATATGAGGTCACGGAGGTTCGGCCCTTCTATTATTAAACGCACCCCACGCACAACAGCCCCCTCCTACGTAAGTGGAACAAAATGACACAAAATATACATTTGGTGTCCAAAACTCATGTGAGAAGCAAAATCCAGAAGGGAAGGGGCCCGAAAACACCAAGCCTGCTCCTGGGAAAGAAGGGGGGGGGGGGAGGGCAAACGTTGCCCCGACGCCAGTAAGGGATTTGTATTCCCTCCTAAATTTGCCCACCAAGCGTCATCCCCAGCACTCTCCACACCAATTTGGAGTTTCAAGGTGGCTCACGTCACTGCTGGACCCACGTCGCCAATATTTGCCCCCCAGCAATTGCCCTGGGCCCGAGGTTTGCCCGCCCCCCCCTGCAGTCGGCGACCGGCAGCGCTGCCTCCCCGTCCGCCATTAGAGACCCAGCCAAACAATACGTGAGGATCAAGAGCCGCGCAGCGCAGCGCCAGGGAGAAGAGCGAAGAAGGGGACCCGGCGGGACACAAGCAAACACCCTCGCCACGCAAAACTTGGGGACCCTGGCTCGGGCCGACAGGGTGCGAAAGGAACCCTGAGAGCAGAAGGGCCCACACTGCCCGTCCTCCGCCCCCCCCCCACCCCCGAGGAAGAAAGAACATACCCCCGCGACCTCCCCGCGGCCCCCGGCCCCGCTCCGCGGCCCCTGCGACCCCCGCCCTCGAAGTCCGCCTCACCCGGCCCACCCGGCCGCGCCCGCACACTCGCAGCCCTCGGGCCGCACGCGAAGACGCCAGTGACATAAGCGTGGCCCCGAGCAGACCCCGAGGCCCCGACACGGCAGCGGCCACGACGGCCGCGCCGCGGGGTGTTAAGCCCGGGTCGGTGGGAGGCTCGGGAGGCTGCCCTCACCCATCTCCGCCTCCCCAGTCGCCTCCGCCTCCGCCTCCTCCTCCCGAGGCTGCGCTGCTCCCAGCCACCCCCACTCTCCGAGGCCCAACGCTGGAAAGACAGTGGGGATAAGCCTCACCCGGTTCTGGCTGCGGCTCCGCGGAACGAACCTCCCCTCCCCCGGCCCACCCCCCTTCGGCGACACGCACAACTCCGCTCAGTCCAGTCCCGGCTTTAGCGCTGGTGAGAGGAGGTGGAGGAGGTGGTGAAGGCGGCTGTGCGGCCGATCCTGGACAAACCCCGCCCTTCGCCCACTCATTGGCTCGAGGCAGAGGCGGAACTCGACGCCTCAGGCACACCCATTGGCTAGGCCAGCCTTCCTTCAGGAACCCCCTCCTCCAAGGGATAATCCACACGCCTGTCCGTCACATGCGAGCCACACCCCCGGCCTTGCCGTTCCACTCCCCCCTCCGCGGGCTCCGGCCTCAGCCGCGTCCCCTCCCCTCCCTGCCCCCGCCCCTCCCTGCCCCCACCCACCAAGTCCGCCAGGGCCAGAACTCGGAGTTGCGTAGCCGACCTCACGGGTCGCACTCAGGCCCGGAGTTGGGGTGTCCTCGGGCTAGCACCGGCTGAGTGACTGAGGTCGGGTTTCGGGGCTTCGCCCGAGTCTAGGCACCCGAATGTGGGCCCCCGGCTCGGCCGCTCCCAACGACTCGCTCGTGGAGAGACGAGGCCTCGATGTCCCAACGTCCTCCCTGTCCAGTCCTGGCAGCGCCCCGCGAGGGCCGAAGCCGGGCCCGGGCTGCAGCGAGGCCGAAGGGGCGGTCGGGGCCGCGGCCACAATGGGCTCCCGGGCGCCCTGCGGGCCGCGGAGGCGCTCCCGCCCTGGCCTCGCCCCGTGGGGAACTAGCCGTCCCCACCTCCCGCCAAGGCTGCCGCTGGAGGAGACGCCGTCCTCCATTTTGTCGGACCTGCTGCTGGAACTTGGGGCCCGCTCAAACCAGCCCTGGGGGGCCGGAAGCTCGCCCCCGGGCAGCCTCTCCTGGGCTCTGCGCGCTGACCCAGAGCACGGCCCCCCGCTTCCGGCGTGCGGGGCGCCGAGCCCCGGGGGGCGGCGCGACGGCGGGGGGGACCGACGCCTCTCCCCGCCGACACCCAGCAAGATGGAGGAGCCGCGGGCTCCCGGCGCGGGGTTCGCGTCCCGGGGAGGCTGGGGCACCCCGGACGCCGCCCTGACGCCGGCCCTTCTCGGCCTCGCCCGCGGCCACGTCCGGGTCGTCGGCGGCTGAGGGAGGCCGCGCTCGGCCGCCCGCCCCATCGCAGCGCGTCGCCCGGCCACTGAGGCCCTGAGGGCCGCTGTCCGAGCCCAGGAGCCCAGCCCGCTGCCAATGGCGCCGAGGCCCGGGGAGGGAGGCCCCGGGGCCTCGTCCACGAGGGGCTTCTCTTTTGTTCCTCGTCTACACCTACGTCTGGGGGCGGACGTCCTGCTGCTGATTTCCAAGACCACGGAAAGATGAAAGCGAAGCCTCAGCACCTCGCCCTGGCGGAGCTGGCTGGAATTACAGCTCGTGGGGTTGGTCGCCTTTCCCACCCAAATGGATGAATGAGAAGGCTCAACTTCACCAGGGCTCACTAATAAACGGACATATAAACTTCTGCCTGATGGGGATGACACACATGAATAGCTTAATAAAGTCAAGCATCAAAGGCTCTATAAAGACTTTTGTAAACTCCAGTAGACACCCCTTTACAGAGGACAATTTAGTAGAAGTTGAAAATTAATTCATAAGCGCTATAAACATACTACTTTCTTTGTTGAAAAAAGATCTAGAGCTTGAACCCATTTTTCTTTTCGGGAACATAATAGCACATTTTGTATTTTCAATACTCTGTCTTTGTGACATTTTGTATTAAGAGTAGTATTTGACATGGACATCCTGTTAATTATTTTCATGATAGAGACACCTTACTAAATACACCATAATCAGTTAAAAGCTCATTTTCTATCTCCATCCTTTATGTCCTAACAACTCCTAAATTTATAGTTAGGTCCATTAAGTAGAGATACTCCAAATAAAATATGTCATAGATTTTAAGGACACATTAGGTTGCTATATACTGTTCAATTGAAGGAAGATCTATACTACTACTAATTCCCTAGCATTATTTTATATTTAATTAACATTAATGTCAGTAATATTTACTTTATTCATTCATATCATTTTTCCATGAAACAAAACTGCTTACTACTTTCATGTGACCAGTGAGAATTTTACCTGACCTTGGGCTTCAAGAAAAAGGTGGTTTTTTTTGTTTTTTTTTTGGGGGGGGGTCCGGTCGTGGGGCCTGAACTCTGGGCCTGGGCGCTGTCCCTCAGCTCTTCAGCTCAAGGCTGGCGCTCTATCACTTGAGCCACAGCGCCACTTTCGGCTTTTTTTTTCTGCTTATGTGGTGCTGAAGAATCGAACCCAGGGCCTCAAGCATGCAAGGCAAGCACTCTACCACTGAGCCACCTTCCCAGCCCCTGAAAAAGTTTTTTTGACAATGTAAAATTATACTTGTTGTGGATTGTTCTTTTTTTTGGGAGGGGGGGGCGGGGAGGAGGGCATGTGTCCTGGTGCTTCGGTTCAGGGTCTGAGCACTGTCCCTGAGTGTTTGGCTCAAGGCTAGCACTCCACCACTTAAGCCTTAGCTCCACTTCTGGCTTTTTTGGTGCTTAATTGGAGATGAGTCTCATGGACTTTCCCCCTCAAGCTGGCTTTGAACTTCAATCCTCAGATTACTGCCTCCAGAGTATTTAGGATTACAGGTTTGAGCCATTGCCATCCACCAAGAGTACTTTTTTTCTTTTTCTTTTTTTTTTTTGGTCGGTCATGGGGCTTGAACTCTGGGCCTGGGCACTGTCCCTGAGTTCTTCAGCTCAAGGCTAGCACTCTACCACTTGAACCACAGTGCCACTTCTGGTATTCTGGTGTTTAATTGGAGATTAGAGTCTCTTGGACTTTCCTGCCTGGACAGGCTTTGAACTTCGATCCTCAGATCTCAGCCTACAGAGTAGCTAGGATTACAGGCATGAGCCACCAGTGCCCAGCAAGAATACTTTACTAAATATTTAAGGACTAGAAATGTAGCTCAATTAGTAGCTCACCTAACATGTATGAGGTTCTAGGTTCAATTCCCATTACTACCAAAAAAGGAGGAATTGGAAACATTTAAATGTCTTAACAGCATTATTTATCATTTCCAAAAGCCAGAAATAAATGTCTACCAAATGATAAATGGGCAAATAATTGTGGTATATCCATACAGTGGAATATTATTTACCCATAAAAAGGAATGAGGTTCTGATAAATGCTACAGCATGGACAAAGATAAAACTTGAGAGAATAAGCCAAGTAAGGGAACCAAGGCCATGAGTTCAAGTCTCAGTATAGGCACAAAATCAAATCTATTCCTTTAGTTATTCTCAAGATTACAGCACACAGTTATTGACTACAGCTGCCATATTACAAAAAAAAAATCTATTAATATAACTGAAATTTTCTATTCTTTGACCAATCTCTTCCCCCTAACCACCACTTCAATCCCTAACAATTCTACTCTTTTCCCCCACCCTGCCCCGCCTCTGAGTAGCTGGGATTACAGACTTGAGCCATTGGCATCCACCAAGAGTTTTTTTTTTTTTTGTCCGTTGTGGGGCTTGAACTCTGGGCTTGGGTGCTGAACTCTGGGCTTGGGCGCTGTCTCTGTGCTCTTCAGCTCACCGGTGAGCACTCTACCACTTGAGCTACAGCACCACTTCTGGTTTTCTAGTGGTTTATTGGAGATAAGAGTCTCTCAGACTTTCCTACCCAGGCTGGCTTTGAACCATGATCCTCAGATCTCAGCCTCCTGAGTAGCTAGGATTACAGGCGTGAACCAGCAGCCCTTTGCCTCAGAAGTCCTTTCTAGCAATACAAAGTTGAAGCTAATTATTGTTTTTTGTTTTGTTTTGTTTTGGTCAGTCGTGGGGCTAGAACTCTAGGCCTGGGCACTGTCCCTCAGCTCTTCAGCTCAAGGCTAGTGCTCTACCACTTGAGCCACAGTGCCACTTCCTGCCTTTTCTGTTTATGTGATGCTGAGGAATCCAACCTGGGGCTTCATGCATGGGAGGTAAACACTCTACCACTGAGCCACCTTCCCAGCCTCTGAGGCTAATTATCGCAAGGCCAAATTTTTGCCCACTGAGTCAGCTTTCCAGGTCTGTAACAAAATATCTGAGGTATATCAACTTATAAAGAGAAAAGATTTATTTTGGCTCATGATTTCAGACCTTTCTATCTCTGGGCATTTGCCTCTTTTGACTTTGGGCCTGTGTCAAGAACAGCGTGGCAAGGGGTACATAGTAGTAAAATTACTCAATCTTGTGGTTGTAGGGAAGTAAAGTGAGGAAGAGGACAAGATTTCAGTACCTCCCCAATAACCTCACTTAAAGGTTCCACCATTTCCCAATAGTGCCACAGGCTGGCAGCCAAATATTTAACATATATTTTGGCCTTTAAGAGACATTGAAAATACGAACTATAACACTCAAACATGAAAAAATATTCCTATTTTCAAAGGTATAAATATAAACACAGAGGGAGTTTTGTTATTTTGTTTGTTGGTTTGTTTTTTGTGCCATCAAGGGCATGAACTCTGGGCCTGGGCACTTTCCCTAAGCTTTGTGTGCTCAAGACTAGCACTCTATCCCTGAGTCACAGCTCCACTTCTGGCTTCTTGGTGGGTACTTGGAGATAAGAGTCTCCTCAAATTTCTGAATTTCCTGTGCAGGCTGGGTTTTAACCATGATTATCAGATCTCAGCTTCCTGTGTAACTAGGATTATACGAGTGAGTCACCAATGCCTGGCAACAGAGTGATTTTCAACAACAAACAATAATTACAGATTATGTGCTATTTGCCATTTCTCTGTCTAATTTTTAGAAGAATGTAAAAAACATGAAGAATAATTCTTATATCTAAGGATGACCATTGTTATATTTTTAGAACAATTATAGGTTTGTGGCAAGCTGAAGAAAATCATAGATGCTTTGATTGGGTTTATTGTTGTTGTCTTTTTGTTTTATTGGCCTAAAATTACCTACATAAGTCACATTAGCTCCCAACTTGAGATCTTCCTTCCTCTACCTCTGAGTGCGGGGCTCAGGT